AAACAGCAGACGACACGCGCTGCAGAAAGTAGTATTACTGCAATAGGAAATAACTCTTTTCGCTACTCATTTTTCTGTCTCGCTCCTAATTCTTCTCCGGTGTTTTCATTACTGTAAAATACTTTTCAATATCTATCTTTTTTTTAATTTGATAAAGTTTCCACTTTGAATATATATATATATATATATGTATATGGACAGTCGTGTGTGTGTATAGTGGTACGGACACATTTTAAAATATATATTAAACCCTCCTAAATGTATCAAATGTGGACTTTACCAGCAGCTGCATTTCTTTGGCGGTAATAACTTGGGACTGTACATCAATACGTCGCTTGTTTCCCGCAGACGTATCGCTGCCATCACCTTAACCACAGGGCGGGATAAATCAGTTTTCCACCCTTTTGTCAGGCCCTGATATTTCCCCTTTGGGTCGCAATTCCGCCTAAGCCGCCATCACGTTAAGACCATAATGCGAGTCGGTAGTTTGTGTAATGACAGTATTACCGTTGTGTGTGTGTCCCAGGCTTTGTCCTCTCCTAAAGTCAGCCATCAGCAATGATTAAACCCAGTCAGCTCCAAAACAATCCTGCCGCTTCCCGTTCTCACAAAGCAGGGAGGAAACGGAGCGTCCTAGCAGAAAGAGAAAGGCCAGGGGGAGTGAGGGAGGGGGTCAAGTAGCAAAAAGAGTTAAAAATAGAGGTCCCGGGTCAGCGTTATGAGGCGCGGAACGCGGAGACGCAGCCTGGACCTCTCCGCGCCTCCTCAGACCAGCATGGGCCAACCTTTAAGGACAAGAGGAGCCGCGATGTGGGGGGGGTGAGGTCCGAATAAAAATAGTCTTTGTCCATTTATCAGCGCGACTCTGTGCAGATTTACCACGCGGACAAGCCAGAGCCTGTGCGGAGGGGGACACCGAAACCAGGACGCGCATTTTTAAAGCTCCACCGAGACAAACTCCATCTGTAAGAGCCAAAAAGAGCCGGGCGTTTCTTTCCCCTAACAGAAACGACACAAAAAAAAAAAACGATCATCAGTGTGATGGCGGTTTTAGAAGCACATTCTCGACTTTTTTCTTTGTACACGCATCTTTTTTCAATTTTTTTGGGATTATTAATTTTGTTTTTTTGTTTTGTGAAAGTTGGATATCACATGATTTACAAGGTGGACAGTGTCATTACCAAATGAATATTTAATAGGCTCCTATAAGCGTGTAGAATCATAAATCCACATTGAACTGACTGAATTTGTTTGACCTGTCGTGGTGCAAATGCGTTACTTTTTTGTATTTTCTATAAATAAAGATATTTGATAAAAGCTGATCAAAGGTTTTTGGTATTGTTTGGAGATTTTCATTTGTTTTTCTGGTTTTAGCGCGAGGGCGGTTGGGCGACACAGTTCTTTGCTTGTGGATGTAGTATAAAGTTCCCTATAACTTAGTTGATTATATGGCCCTTTTGCAGCAGGGCTGTGGGCCTAATCAGTGTCAGAAAACTGGAAAAAATGGGAACCTTCCGGACTGTTTCTTTTCTACGGGCCCCTTACCTTTTAATCTAATCAGTGTCAGCTCAGAGGGAAATGCTGCTTAACGGCACGCGGTGATTAAGCCCAACCGAGTCTGAAAACCTCCATTCTGTAGTTCATTTGGAAAGATGCAACAATCACCATGCAAGCGCACACACGCACAAATCCACGAACAGAAAGCAATACACTCAGGAGACGGATGACGAATTCATTTCCCGAGGAGGGAAAAACACAAATCCACCTTCCTATCCACATCAGCCGATCAGGCCACAAAAATGTAAACATCTCAGTTCCAGAAAGAGAAAGTCTCCTGTAATGGGTCTGATAAGAGCTAACTCCCGTTTTTTATGTCCCGGTGCACATAAACATCCTAATGCGGGTCGTAGAGCGGCTCGCGCTCCGCCAGGTGTTACGCGCGTTCTGCAAATTCATTTAACGCGATTGCCAGTCTATTATCTGCCCAACGCGGGGCCCGCGCACACGCGCACACACTCATGTCATCGCGCAGGGGGTGCGCGTGTGAGCGGCTGGTTTTTATAGCTCCAGCAGCAGCAGAGGAGAGACGGAGTCAATTTAACGCCAGCAGAAGCCCGTGATTGCGTAATCTCACCGGGAACCGGAGGAAGATTAAACAGAGACTTTGAATGACAATTAGGGAGAGCAGGAACGGGAGACCGAGGAGGGGAAACGTATGTAATGCGAGGGTCGGTGGGAGGACCGACCTCTTCCTCTTCCTCTTCTTCCTTCCCCAACCAAAGGAAACCAGTCCAGCTATTGCCAGGCACGGAGGCTCGGGATTGGTCAGCCTGAGGTCAGCTGGTCTCTGCCTCCCCTCAGACTCCCTCACCCGATCCCATTTTCTCCCCTAACATGTACACACACACAGAGACTCTCTAGCTACCGATCCCACACCCCCACCCCACTGCC